AAATATTTCAATATTTAAATAATGATTACCAATTAACATTTGGCTAATGAAGTAACTCACAATATTTCATAATAAATCGGCAATGTTATAATTAAGGACAAAAATATGCCAAATTTGATAATGTTTTGTTTTGTTTTCTGACAGCTGATACAATTCTTGTTAAATGCATTCAAAATCGATGTTTTGAATCAAGTATTTTGAATCATAGATGGGCCGGTCATGTAATGGTTAGCGTTTCGGAACCAATTCAATCGACAAGCCGGATTCAAATTCCAGTGGGGTTTGTTACGTTCATTTTCACACAAATACCATTAATGAATGGTATGAGTCCACATCTTCATTTCAGCTATGGCTTAAATGATAGGCAAACAGAGCTCTTCAGTCTTTCTAAGTGAAAAGTCTATGGGAAAGATGACTCTGAATTCAAACCCGGTTTGGGCATGAGGTTAACAACTCCATATCGTAAAAATCTACTTGTTGCGGAAACCACAGCTTCAGCGCCTAGAACGGTACCCCCCATACTCCTCAATGAAGTTTACAGAGCTTCGGTGAGGTAGTAAAATTATTAATAGTATGTAAGGACAAATACAGACTGTTCAAGGCGAATCTGCACTTCTCTTGACGGAACAAAATTTTCACTTTCCCTCATGCATCTGTCGTCTTGCTTACTGTTTTTAGTTTATCCCAACCAGATCATTAATTTGCTTTCCGCCAATCGGTTACTAATGTCTTTTTACATTTGGACAAGCGTTTCACTCTCAGTAAAACCATAACGGCGTTGGATCATTTCTGGTATAGATTCTAGCAATTGATAATTTGATAAAGAAATGATATCCTTCGTAAATTTATTATAGGTCAGCTGCGAAGAATCTATCTTACATATCTATAAATCTACCATTCATCCATGCTTAGAATATTGCTGGCAGATATGGTCCGCTGCTCCTGTTATTCATATATAAAATAATCAACAAAGAAGAATCAATATTATTGGCCTTATTCTAACGTCTCCACTTCATTCTCTTTCTTACCGCCATAGGCTGTCTCCCTGTGCCTTTTCTATAAATGCTTTCATGATAATTGTTCAGATGCGCTCTTTGTTATTATGCCTAGAGTCTTTGAATTTAAGCGCAGTACTAGACTGCCGTCGAGATCTCATCAATTTACAGTTGAGTTGGCTGGATATATCCATGAATTCTAGGCTAACAGTTAATTAACTCGCACTACAATCTTCCGGCTCCAAGCTTCGGTATCATTTTGAATCTGCAAAAATTCAAATGCGATGTCAATCGCTATATACTGTCCTCTTACTCGTTACTTTGTTCTCGCTGCTTAGAAATGTCCCTGTTTTTAACTCTTTCACACCCAATAGACACTTTGTGTTTCAGTGTCTTAACTGCCTTGCATGAAGTGAACTCGATAAAAAAATATGTATGTGACGTTGAGCATCGTCTATATTTGAATGTGCAAGTGTTCACTGTTTTGACGAAACTGTATCTTTGATTAAAACTCACATGCCACCAGCATAACAACCGATTAGTCACAGTAAACCGCATGTATTCGGATACTATTGTAGCTCTGGCGTCATATAGTCCAAAATACACGAGACAAGAAAGAGAGAGAGAGAGAGAGAGAGAAAGAGAAAGAGAGAGAGAGACTTGAAAATCCAATTTATTCAGTTCGCGAAACTTTATTGATTTTTTTTTAAATCCCATGTCCCTTCAGGCCGTAAGCTCTCATGATTCTTCACAGATTCCTTTTCTTTATTATCTTTGAATTGTCATGAATTCTTAGAAAAGATATTGGAGTGGTTTTCCGCTGCATTCTATGGTTTGGAATTCATAATATTCCATCTATTCAAATGGATGACACACAAGTCTACTCTGCTATTTAAATTATAGGGGGAGCGAGAAGAGATGAAATCATCCAAAGATATTAGTTCGAAAGTGAACACAAAAGTCTAGTCTTGAATTTGAACTCGACCCGATTCCACATTTGGTGTGGACAACCGTTACACTATCCGCATATTCTTACTGATTTAAAAAGAAAAAACGACTGCAAAATATGTAAAGATATTTATTGCTTGTGAAAGTTCAATGGTTATTAGACAATTGTTAGATTTTCGGTGACTAAACGAGTATATGTAGGTAAAGTTTGTAAAATTGCTGTCAATTTTTTCTGACTTGTAATCAATTCCCGTAATCCGTATCCTTACGTCAAACAATCCACCAATACTGACTGCAACCTGTGCCGTTACAGCAGTCATTAGTTATTGCATGAAAACATATAATTGCGACATAAGGCCGAAATGAAAGAATGAAAGGCCTGAATATCCTAAACCTCGCTATAATCATTCATGACCCATTCATTCTTAGAACTGATTCAACCACAAGAACTCATCTAGCCCATTCAATCCAATATATACAAAACCGCATATTAACAGGGATCCTACAAAGACACCCATGACGTAAAGACTTGGTAAAATAGACAATCTTTTGGGGCTTTTCCCTTCTTTTTTAAATATATAAAAATCTATGATATGAACTGGAAAGTAGAGGGATGAACCCAATAACAAAAAATAAAGTACAACGAAACATTCACACTAAAAAAAAACAAAAATAAATATATTAGTAGGACCCATCCACCCGACTATTCGTTACAGCAAGATCGTTGATAGCCTGGATTTATTTTTTTTTATTATTATTAAGGCGGTATGAATCTTAAGTAACAGCAGATATATGAATGATTTAATATTTTATGAGTACACTGCAACTAGAACAGCTCCATGTCTTTATTTGAAAATTTCTATTAAAAATGATTAACTACTCTATATTTCTATTATTGCCTTAGTTTTAAGTTTCTTATTTTTTTTATGATACAAGTGATATTCTGTTTTCAAAATGTTTAGGCACCATTTTTTTCATTGCTTGATTGACATGCATACACTTTTTCTTTACACACTTCGATTTTTTTTTTTTCTCCAATCTTATGAACGTTTGATACTGATCTCTTGTTAATCAATAGCGTTTTATTCTCAGTTTTTATAATTATTGATCACAGCTGATATTCCAATCGGATCCCATATCACGATCTTAAAAATCGATCTGTTTGTACTGGGAATTCCCAATGGATGTTCTATTCACTACTTTATAGAATTGATCTGACTAATTCTTCAACTAATACAAATACTATTATTCCTACATCACTCCTCCTCTTCCTCTTTTCTCTCATCTCTTTTCTTCTCTCCTACTTCTATTTTCCCGCTTCTTCTCTCCTCCTTTTTTCTCTACTCCTTCTCTTCTTCTCTCCTCTTTCTCATTTTCTCCTTCCCCATCTTTTTTTCTTCTCCGTTTCCTGTTATTCTTCTTCTTCTTCTTCTTCTTCTTCTTCTTCTTCTTCTTCTTCTTCTTCTTCTCTGTCTTTCTTCTATTCTTCTCCACCTCTCACTCCTTCTTCTTCTACTTCTTTCCACCTCTCACCCCTTCTTCTTCTTCTTCTTCTTCTTCTTCTTCTTCTTCTTCTTCTTTTTAAATATTAATAATATATATATATATATATATATATATATATATATATATATATATATATATATATATATTTAAATTGTTCTGATTTTTGAAAATTGGTTGGGTCAGGAACTTTTCAACAACTCTTATGTCTATCTAACATACGCATATATATAAATACATATCTATCTATCTATCTATCTCTATCTCTCTCCCCCCTCTCTCTCTCTCTATATATATATATATATATATATATATATATATATATAGATAGATAGATAGATAGATAGATAGATAGATAGATAGATAAATATAGATATATACATATATATATATGCATTTATTTTATATATATGCGTGTGTGTATGTGGGTGTATAAATAGGTGTGCATATATATATATAAATATATGTGTGTGTGTGTGTGTGTATGTGTGTGTGTGTGAGAGAGAGAGAGAGAGAAACGTAGTAGCAGAGAAAAAATCATTTATTTCCACTGGGAGGCAATATTGTCATTATTATTATTAGCAAATCAACACCACCATTATACTTATCAATATGTATGCATCCATACTTGAGAGTGCTGGGTCAAAAGTGAGATTAACATGTATATCATAAGAAATATTATCCCTGTCTTGAATTTCATGAGAGTGTATATTACTGTGTAAGAGTAAGAAATCCGTTGATATTTGCATGTGAGCGCACATGGCTATGCTTATCTTGGTGTGTACCTACTATCGCGTGAAAAATAAACATTTTCACACAAACATTTACTTTTCTTGTCTTTTCTCCCATGAATTGGTTTTATAGAGTTTCCTGTCACCATTTAAATTTTATCCCCATGTTTTTTTTCGTTTTTTTTTATATATTTGTCGTGGTTCTATTGATGATTTCTTTGTGGATAACCGCATTCGTTCTTTTTTAACTCTTTACTTTCTTAAGATGAGATTTCAAGACTGGTTTTTGAAAGTACTTTTCTTTTTTATTACTTTTTGATTTCTTTTGATTCTCGGTGTATTTTCATTCTTTATATTTTGATTTATTTTTTACGTGTATTAGATTTCAGGGTTTTACTTTTGGGCTTGATTCATTGTCTGTTCATTATTTCTATATTTATTACTATTATTTTAATATTACTTTTGTTTATTATTTTCATTGTGTTATTTTATTTTTAATGCTTGTTATGCTTTTGTTGTTTGAATATTTACCTTTTCACATTTTTATATTTCCCGTTGCTGTTTGGTTCTTAAACTATTTGAAAATTCATTGGTTCTTTTGTTTTCTATTCTCATTTTTTTTGTTTTTCGCTTTTTTTCTTGAAGATTCTTTCTCTAGACCTTTCTTTCAAAAGTCTATTTACTCCTTTCCTAGCATTGTTTCTAATTTTCTTTTTCATTTCTACCTTCATGCTTTATTTAGTTATTTCATTTTTCTATTTTTATTTTCCCGTCTAAATGTTTACCATTATACTCTTTCTTTCTTTCTTCTGTGTTTACTTTAATGTTGCATTTTCAAATTTTCATTTATGTCTGTTTTTTTTTCTTTTTATATTTCTTTCTTTTTCTTAACTTTAACATTATATTTTTTCCTTTCTTTATTCTTTCTTTTTTCTATTTTCTTTTTGAATTTTTCTTTCATTTTTGTTTCTTTTACTTTTTCTTATTTCTCCTTCTGTTCGCACTGTTTTCATCTGTTTCTGTTTTGATCTCTCTATTTTCTCCTTTCCCTCCCTATTCTCTCTATTTTTCTCTGTCTATTCTCTCCCTCTCTCTCCCTCTCGCTCCCTCTCTCTCCCCCCTCTCTCTCTATCTCTCTATTCAGTATTTTGTTTTAATCTTATATTTTACAATTTTTTTTTGCTTTTATTTTTGCCCATTTCATTTCTTCATTTCATTATTGATATTTCTCATGGATTTATTCGATCGATTCACTCTTGACTCATTGCTGGATATTTGTAAATGTTTTTTTTTTTTATTTCTATTGCAAGACAAGATAGAATAAATGCTAACTAATAAATAATAGGTTCTTTTGAGTAAATAAGGACAGATGGCACATGCCTTGCAGTCGTCTATATCAGTTAAAGATTTATTTTCTCCTTTCTTTCCTTCCTTACTTGGACTTTGATGATCGTCACTGTACAGGGTGACAATATTGATATTGTAAATATTGATAATAACGTATTTACAGGTGTTAGACAAACAAACTAAGGACAGCATAATTTTCACATTGAGAAATAAATTCAAAATATACAGACAACACAGGCATTCTCGAAACAGTTTACATTCAAATGCACAAACAAGGCCTGTGTTAGAAAAAGAGTATTTTATTCGCACATTACGTTTATTTGGTAGTTACTCATAACATGTTTTCTTATTAGTACACATATCGAACATTTACCTTTTTATTCGTGAATTATTTTACTAATAAATTGTTTTTATTCGTGTTCCGAAATTTCTCCCTTTTCGTCAATATTTTGTTTTTTCGTGAATATCGCCTTTTGTCTCGTATCATATATACCATTGGATTCCTTCTGAAGAAATGTTGCTTGCAAGAAATCTAAAGTAAATTAAATGAGGAAAATGTCTATGTAAATTTCAAGTCATTATATTTGTTCTGTGGTACAAATGTTTGTTCAAATATTACCGTTATAGATACCACAGAAATATTATTAGCGAGCTGTTACATCCGAATCTAGCATAAGTTTAATTTAGAGCCAAGCGTTCTTTTCTGCAGTTTTGCTTGTCATGTGGTGTTGTAGTTCATTGGACGTAGGTTGCTGAAATTCAAGATTGATCTATGTCTTCCAGTTTAAGGATATATATATATATATATATATATATATATATATATATATATATATATATATATAAAGTCTTTCTAGATATAACATTAGACTAAATGAAAAATATATACCAATCCTTATAAAAAACCTAATACCAATCCTTTATATATCCATCCGAAGTCAAATTATCCCCCATCAATAATAAAGCATGCACCTTCATCCATAGAAAAACGAATAAGTATAAATTCTGCTGATGCAAAAATATTCTGTGACAGTATTTTTTATAATAAAGATTTAAAGAATAGTGGCTATAAATGCCCTGATATTAATTATGTAAAAACAAGAAGAATAACCAGAGAAGAAATAGAAATAGAAAAACAATTGATAGTAACCCCCATTTAACCAAGAGGTTAATAGTAATTCAGGACAAAATTTCTTCCTTTAATTGAAAAAGATTTTCCTAGAAATAATATAATTAGCAAACATTTTTAATAAAAATACCCTAAAATTAAGTTATAGTTGTACTTAAAATTTAGAATAAATTATAAAATACCTAATAACATTTTAAATAAATACTTAAGCCAAAATCAAAGAAATAGTGATCCAGAAATAAGAATAAATAAGAGTAAAGAAAAATTATGTAACTGTAAGAATCCTTCAAATTGTCCATTGAATAATAAATGTCTCACAGAATCTATAGTTTACCAATGTACTATCTCATCTAATGAGAATCCTCATATTGAAAATTTTTATATTGGAAGCACTAAAAATGGATATAAATTAAAAGGGAGCGAACATTTATCGTTCGTCAACAATAATAATTATCGCAGTCAAACATTCCTATCCAAATATTTTTGGCGTTTAAAAAAACAAAAAAAAAACACACGGTGTAAAAATGGAAATTGTTAAAAAACGAAAACATGTGCATTTTTAAATGACCTATGCCCTTTGTGCCTACATGAAAATACATTTTTAAGTTTTTGAAAAATAAAGATTTATTAAATCAAAGAAATGAAGTTTTTGTAGACATTGTATTATGTTTACTTTTAAAAAAATAATTAATTATACAAATTGTATAATTATATATCTATTATTTGATGAAAAATAAGAAAGTAAGAAAATGCGTAATTAAATCCTAATATATTAATTTTTCAATGCTGTATATTTTGTTAATAAATATAATAAATATAGTATTTTACATCTTTATAAATAAAATTA